GCAGGAAATACTGTCCTGGGGAGCAATATAAAAATAGGGAAAGATATATATTTTTCTCTGTGGAAAATGGAAAGCAGCTTAAGAGCTCATCAACAAGCTGAAGTAGCTCATTCCAAGATCTGCTACGGAAAGAACGAACAGATGAAAAGCAAAGAAGCAAGTTTCTGTAATGGTTTTCTTCACTGGGGTTTGGGAGGTTTGAGCATTCCTGTTACTGGAGATAGAAGATGAAAATGCAACACTTGTTTAAAGTACATGGTCGAAAATACTCCTGAATCATCCCCAAAAGACAAGAATTAGGTTTTGACCTACCAAACACAAAAGACATCTTTGAGAAAGGACTTAAATAGCAGTGTGAATTTTAAGCATTTAAAGCACTTTGATGTGTCTTGAACAATATTAAAACTGTTCAACCTTTAAGAACCAACTGAAAAGAATCAAGCATCCCTCCTTGCAACCAGAGCTTAAAAATACTGTGTAGAATGCATTATTAAAGCTTCAGGCACATTTATTTCATATAACAAATCTCCAGGCACAGCTTACAATGACATTTCTCAGCATGACACTCTCATGCATTTCAAGAGTCTAGAAGATGATTCATATTTAATGTGTTTATGGTATTGCACCAGGCAAAATCCTCCTTTTCCTGTCCCCTGAACAAAGACACTTGTAATTCAAATAGCAAGCACAGAGAACAGTTTCTAGCGGTAAAACCAGATCCTTTCCCTCCCTTTAGCTTTCCAGAAGAATAACAGAATTAGAAGCTTGAGATAGCAGCTTAGGTTGTGAATATTGCAGCTCAAAATCCTAGAGTTCTATTAAATTATACTTGCCTGTTTGATATTCAGAGTGGGTAATACCTCTTTTGTCTGGATTAATGAATATGAGATACACATTTATTAACAAATTAATGAAAATCCAATCAGCAACATTCCATTTTAATACTCTTAAAACTGTTCTGTAAATCACAAAACAAATTTCCAAATGGAAGAACTAGAAGTCTGCCCCTGCAAGGTCATTGCTGCTAAAAACAGCCCATCCTGCTCCTCCAAAAAAACCCAGAGAAGTTAACTGCAGCAGTATGTATTTCACACCTATACTGTGATTTATACGGAACAAAACCCCACAGCGAAGTGACCGAAAGAAAAGCCTCGAGTTGAATTTCAGCCAAATACTACCTTACTCTGTTTTGGGAAGCAGAGAACAAACTATGTCAACTATTACAGAAGTAGTAAAAAGCTCTCACCACTTCATATCATTCCCTGTAACATAATCCTCTTATTATCAAGAGTAAGCATATCTGCAATTGACTTCTACACACAGTGTTGCTAACAGCATTTCAAATTAGCTCTTCCTTTTAAAAACAAGAATAAATGAGGTTACCTACAATGCTATGGAGACTGAACTATCATTTCCCTGTCGTTAAAAAAAAATGTGATGTTTTAGAGCAAGTAAGAGCTGACATCAAATTTTAAAATAAAGAGAGGCAGGCTTACACAAAACAAGGGAAAGAGTTCAGATACAGGAAAACTAGGTTGCCAAAGTCACCTTTCCTCCTCACTCTATTATCTGGACAGTGTCAGCTCCCCGAAAACGTGCCTACAGTCTGCTATTAAGGACTTGATATATGCAAATGAGTAGTCAATCTTGGTCTTTTAAAATATAAATGTAAAATATATATTTATGTTTTCCTGTATAAGCATATAGACATGAACAAAGTCCAGGCTGATTTTCCTGGTAAGGAATCAGAACCCAGCCCGGCCAGACTTCTCATTACTACACGAGGCTGGGTGACAGGGCTTGAAAATGTGGTAGCAATTTTTCAAAGACACTATAGCAATCCTAAAGCAATTAAAGAAAATAGTAAAACACAAAACACCCTTTTATCTAGAAACATGGTACAGCTGCAGCACGAGTGCAGCTAAAACACTCACGTCCCATTCTCTTGAGAAAGTGGAGAGATTTGGGTCTAGAAGAAACGCACAGCTAACCTCAGTGACGAGCAAAAGCACTCCCGGGACTCTGGACACTCCTGCCCCGAGGCAGCCGTGTGCGGCAGTCCCTGGGTCACCTCACAAGTGCTGAGCTCAAAACGGCTTCGAGGAGGAATCCTGATCAGCCACTACACAGCAGGAATTGGGGAGGGGGGAGACACTATTGGCTGTAAAACAATCCACTGAGATCCACTGCAAAGAGTAAATTGACCTCCACTTGCACCCTCACCTACAACTCCTGTAGACATTGATATTCCTCCCCCTGTTCCTAACAGTCTGCCCCCAGTATTAAAGAGAAAAGAAGTCTGGCCTCAAACTTACCAGAATACCCAACCACCTGTCCACCCTGGAGGTATAATATATATTTTATGTAGATAGATAGATAGATAGATAGATGTATCACTCATCTCCCAACACCAGAGGGAGGAGCAGGGACTGTTCTTTCCAGCTTTCTGCGCTGTCTCTATAGTTTTGGAACACAGCCTACAGACCTGTTTTGCAGGTAAACATTTCTCTCAGACACACGTATTCTCTGTCAAGGATCTGGTGGAGAAATGGGAAAAGGCAAAAACAAACAAAACCCCCATGAAGATGCTACACTAAAACTACCTCTCTGAGATCATGCTTTGGCTGAAAAGCTGAGGCTGAGCCCTCCCCAAGGCTGTGGGAGCCGGGCACCCGCTCCCCTGCGGCAGCACCAGCTACCGCGCCTCGGGCTGGGGCTCGCCTCCCGCGCCCGTGCCCACAGCACAGCTCACCGGTCAGTGATCCTGGTCAGTGCAATTACGTGTTTACAGAAGACCAAGATTCAACTATTCTTGCCCCCACTGTAGTGGACAGTGACATAAGCAATGAAAACAAACCTAGGCTTTGCTCTGCTTGCGGATTTTCGTCTGGTTGGTTAGGGGGTTTTTTAAAGAGAAATTTTAACAACTTGGAGAACTGTAGTTGCTTGTGCTTAATGCTTCTGCTCCTGATTTTAATGACACCCAGAAACTTAACTGTCCCGTCACAACACTGATGGAAGGTCTCCAAAGCCACAGGTCAGCAAACAACTTAAACCAGCACAAACTGACAGGCACGGAGGGAAGCTAGCTCCAGCTCTTCCGAGTGCTCCTTCCTCCCCGCGTTGCTGGGCTCCTCATGCCACCAGCAGCACTTGTGCAGAGCCGCAGGGCCCGGTCCAGGACAGCTCCAACCCAGAGCATGCCCTTGAGCCAAGGCACTCTGGAGCGCACGCGTGAAAAGCTCTTCTTTCAACACCGCTATCAGTTTAACGTCTTTGTCACACTACGCTATCTCTGACATTGAAAACTGTTCTTAATTGAATGAGCAGGTCTCCTTTCAGTGTTAACAAAAAAATCTCAACTCTATCTTTTTAAGTTTTTCATTCAAGAAAATTGTGCTGCAGTTTAACTAAACACAGCTAACACATTCTTAGTTTTTTCAAAAGGAACTGGACTGGCTGTTAGCAGACACTAAATACCTGGAGGTAACAGACATTTAGTTCCATTCAAGTTTTTAAGTCTTTTCTGTTAGATACAGAATTAATTAGCAGTTCATGTCTATCTGTGGATTTAGAGTGTAACAGGGTTTGTGGGGTTTTTTTTTTGTTCACTTGTTTTTAAGATACACGTTTCTACCGGATTTGGTTGCTGCTGAGTCTTTCAAACAAACCAATCATTAAGTATCTTGATTTTAGAAATATATGCTCAAATTATTTTTGTATTAACTGATACAAAAATATTAAAACCTTTCAATATAATAAATAAAAGCATCAATTTCTTTCAGTGACCAAAGTTCCACTGTGCACAGTTAAATCCACAGGTTCTCTCAGAAGAGATCTGGCAAAACATGAATGGTGAGCAGTGCTGTAAAGTTTCTCTGACAAGTCTATAATCACTTCAGTTTCTGATCAGGATTCCTGTACCATGCAAGTCTGGGAAACATTCTCACACAAACATTTAATGCATATGAACTCATAGAGAGAAAAAAGAATAATACAGCTATCTGAATCCTCACCTTAAATATATACATTTTTCTTAAGCAACAATTTAAGGCCAATTAGGAAAGTGGAACATGACCTTGTAAGAAATATAAGGATCAGATTATGCAAAAAAAAACCCTATCCAATGAAGAAAGATGCATCTGTCATGAGCATAATGATTGTTTTTTCCTCATTGCATGAATGTTTACTAATACATGTAAGTTACTGACAAGAATTCCAGATGCAAACTAGTACACTAAGGCTAACCTCACAAATCAGAACTTTGTCTTTAAATCCTCACTTTTTTATGTTTCATGAAGATCAATGAGAGAGTCTTTAGACTAAAGTCTAAAACATGACTGGGAGTAAGATAAAGATGAAGATAAAAAGTCATGCTTCATTTTTATATGCTGTCAATTAGAAAAATAACTAATTTAAACTAATCAGTTTACAAAAGTGCCATCCTATCATATATTATATTCTCATGTATTTGAGAATTTTGTAATACATTACAATAGAGAGCCATGTGTGAATGGAGTTTAAATACTAAGCTTCCTCAAGCCTCTTAAAGGAAAATATGACCTTTCCTCCTCCTTACAGTTTGGTAAAAGCTTCACGGCTCAAAATGTAATCTCCAATTCCATTTTTCATCCTGGCTAGAACTGGCTCTTTTGCAGTCGGTCAGCATTCTGCCTTAGTTCCAAATAGGTATTTATTACCCCTGAAGACAGAGTGCATTCTAGGAGTTAACAGGTCTGTGCTGTTTAATCATAGAACAGCGAAACAGGTAACTAACTTCTAATGATGATATAGATATGAAATACAGCAACCATTTGCACAGAATACCGAATAATTTTGATCACCCAGTTTAGTTTAATTTATACTACCTTAATTCTCCTAGAATGAACTCTTACTTCTCCACAAGCTCTTTTTTACAATCAAAACTTTGCCAGCACTGTTCATGTTGGCCAGAACGTTACAAACCTTAACAAAGCAACTGAATCAATGGGAATGCTTACCAGCAGCAACTACAGCTGGAGGCGGCGAACCTGCCTCGCCACCACTTGTTTGGCTCATGGATGCTACAGATGTTTCTCTGGAAGGTGGTAACTGCAGCTCCTTTGGGAGAAGGTCATAGACAGATTCTGTTGAACAAAAAGCATTTAATCAAAAATTTATTCATGCTCTGTAAGAGAAGAGAAATAATGTTTTTGTCTAGAAGACATGAGCTATAATCCAACCTTTTCAGAACCTTTTGGAAAAGTTACATTAAGCACTTGGAGTTCTTAACATCATGGAATACAGTTATTTCACAAACCAACCACAAAAACCACAAGATCCACATTCTCAAGACCGAAACAAAAGGACACAAATTTGTTCAAACAAAAAATAATTCAGCAACTTCCAGGGAAGCTGTACTCATTGAGAATGAAGGGGCAGAATCGCATGAGAATCAAAGACAAACCTGTTCTCAGAATTCAAACTGCGCAACTGACTTCCAAAGAAAAAGAGACTAATTTAGTACCATCATCCACAAAATATCCTATAAAGTCTTCCTAAAAATGTCAATTCTCGTTATTTAAGATCCCTTACTTCCATTTATCTGCAAGTTGGGGGCTTTATTGCCTCAAACTCTTTCTGTAAATTCACGGCGATGCTCCAGAGAAGGCAGTCTCCACTAACAAAGCAGCTAGCGCCTGTCCATTTTACACAGAAAGCTCTGTGATGTAACTGGCAGACCTGTGCAGTAGTACAACCTCTATGAATTTTTTTTTGGTGACTTCTCTATTGTGAAACAGCTATGACCACCACACGGCTCACCTGACAGAGCTTCAGCAGCCGAGACACAAGAAGTGAAGTCAGTAGCCTCATGTTCAACCTGCTTCCCCATCCTTGCTGATGGTCCAAAGCACGTCACTGCCTATGTCAGATGGCTACTTTGAAGTCCAGCTAGCAAGAGCTCTCATTGCACCCAACGGCCGAGAAATGCTCTCAGAATAACTCAGTGATACAAACAGCTCCACTCAGGCACGAGCACACAGCTGCAAACCCACCACTTCCAGGGGATATGCCAAAGATGCACCATCTCAAACACCCCATTTGGAGATGTAAATAACCTGGATAAACAGCTATGAACTGAATCAGCAATTCTATACCACAAAATAAAAAAAAAAAAAAAATCCTTTATATGCAGTATTTAAGTGCCTGAGACAGATACGGAAAACTCCATGTGCATTTTTAAAGTTCTTTCCCCCCCTGCCCCATGAAGCAACAATTACACTCAAGCAATCCTAAAGTAAAATACATTTGTGCATCAATTCTTCTGTAAAAATTAGAAAAGCCACAGAGTTCTTAACTAGAAAGCTTTATCTCCATTAGGCCCTGCAAAAAAATGAAACATACTCAAGACAAACGCACAGGGATATACACACCCAGCAACATATAACTGTATTAAAAATACAACACATACCAAATGCTAGTTATGCCACAAACCAGAACAGTTACTGTACTGGGTAAGAGTGCAAATACTCCCACCACTAACTGGCATTAAGAGAGCCCAGGAAAACTTCTACACTATTTTCAGGATACTACTTGTCTGTTATGCACAAGATCACAAGCAACTACTAACAGCGGCTGCAAACTGGCGCTGAGGTGTACCTGGAGTTAGCTCCGCTGCCCCCCAAACTTCTTCCTTTCTGCTGCAAGAATTTTTAATATTTTTTTCCCCTAATTACACCCACTTTTTGGAGTAGTAACTTTTCAGTACCATGACAAATAGAACAGAACTTTTTTTCTTAAATTTAAGCTGATAATCAAAACATCGGCAACCAGAGGTTGCAATCCAAATCCCAAGCAGAATTGTCTGCAGAGGTTTTCTACGAGTTACCCGTAACACTGAGACAATGTACAAGGGAAATACTTTCAGACAGCTCGAGCTAACTAACCATAAATTCAAAGTTTTATTCTTTGGAACAATCTAGAGGAAAAAATATTTATTTGTGCTCACTGAAGATGTTAAAAGGTAAAAAAGGTAAAGCAAAAATACAGACATTTGTTCATACTTTCGCTCCTGTTTTACTATGAGGAACAGCTGCATTAGCATTTACCTCAAAGATGAGTTCCCTCTTTAAAATTAACTTTTTCCTCAGCTATTAAGGCCTGATTTCTCACTCTTCTGACCTAGTAATTTTCAACATCACAAAATTGGCTTTCAAAGTTTAAAATTGGTTATGGAAAGATACAGTTACAATGATGCTTCTCAGTTTACATCTCCTTTGCTTTTCCCAAAAAGAGGTTAGTTCTTTTTTTAGTGATATTATATTACACTATTAAGCAGGAGTATTGTGTACTTTTGGTGTGTATGAGCACTTATGTAGTTTAAACATGCTCTAAATTTCAGCCTTTATTAAAAAAGGTAAACCATGCCTTTATTTTTCTTACAATATTGACTTGTCACATTTGCATACAGACTTGAATCCAATTCAAAAGTTAAAAACCAAACTAAATTGCACTGAAAATTGCTACTAGCCAAATACCATCTCTTACGCCTGCTGTGCCAATGAGGGGGAAGAACAAGGCACAGTTCTAATTTAAGATGAGAAGGGAGTGCAGAAAGTACAAGGAAAAAAAATGCATTGACTAAATAATCAAAAAGAAGTTATACTGATATTTGAACAAGAATGTCTGAGGAAAGTGAAGAAAGAAATTCTGGGGGGTTTTATTGCATTGAATATACTTCTGCCAGTGACCCACGAGTGCTAAATGCATGGGAAAGAGATGCAATAGGTATCCACTCTTAGAACAGCAGGATCAAACAAGGTACTAGAAGATCAACTGTTACCTACTCTGCCTTGGGTAAAAAAATTTTAAAATCTACCAGTCAAGTTCTGGTTGGACCATCCACTGAAGAAGAGTGGAGAGTTTGTGCGTTATCTGGCTTGCAAAAAGGAGCACATTTGATCTAACAGCATTTAAGATTCTATGCAGTTGTATTCACAGCTTTAACAACAGGGAAGACAACGTAAAATCCAGAACTGGGAAGCCAAGAAGACCAGTTACTCCTTCAAATAGTCACTGTCAGGCAGTTTCTGCACTGGCACTGTAGGACAATACAATTCTCAACGGGTGTCATTGTAAATTCAAATCTGGCTTAATACACGGAAGCACTGAGCGAGAACCCTATGAACATACGTACTCTGACTGCTACTGGTGATTTGCAGTCTCGGTTCCCCTCTTTCTTAAACTGTGAAGTCAGTCCTCATACACAAAGACCAGGGAGCTTACAGGAAAGAATGAAATATCTGTTTGCACCTTTTTAAAAACAAGCCTTCTCCCTTCCAACCCAAACCATTCTATGATTCAGTGTAACTCCTGCTCCCAAGCCACCTCACGCTCTACGGGCACAGAAATGCAGCCAGTGCTGCATACTTTTCCGACATTTGTTATTTGTCATGCTGCATTCTGAGAAAGCTTCTGTGAACCACAAAATCCCAACCAGTTTTCAGAGAAAATGTTTATTTATTTCCATGTTGAATGGCTCCTATAAGCTTGGCTGCTGACATAGCTATCAATACGCCAAAAAATTCTCCAACTAAAATGTGGCATTTGAAAACTACAAGACGTGTGTGGGTCTATTTTCTACTAAACTACAAATTTTCTGCAAGATTAATATCTTAATTCAAGAGACTGAAGAATGAAAAGTTCAGGTTTTGTCCCACCAATGAAAAGCACAAACACCAGCTGAAGAAAAATACAGGTATGACGTGAGGGGGGTACTTCCCTCCTTGGCATCCCTGTGCCTCTAAGCAGTATTGCCCCTGCAGCCAGGCGTTTGTACAGCAGCTCCAGACTGTTGTACAGCAATCCCTCGTAAACGTGCAGCAGCCTTTATTCTGGCTGGCACTGGTACTACTACCTACAGGAGGTGAGTAAAATCCAAGCTCACTTCTGTTGAAAACCCAGCCATAGGCAGATGTTCAGTGCTGGAGCAGCTGCTGCACTGTAATTACCATCCAAGATATCTGTCACAACCTCTCATATGGAGAATTATGCCCACTCAGCCTTGTTCACAGAAAGTGATTTTAGTTCAAAGTGCACCCTGCAACAAATTCTTCCTACTGAGCCACCTAAGAAACTCACACAGGTTGCTGGGCCACAGCTGGGCAGGCCGCTGCCTCTAGAGGAGTAGCAGCAATATTTAAAGCTGCTGCAGTCACTTGACAGGCAGCTCTGCTTATGCTGAATATTCTTTTACACCCAATACACTGGAAGCAACTTACCATGTATTTCTGTTACACAAAGGTTTAGTGACAGTCCTCAAAACGAGGGATTGGAACACAGCAAGTGTGTGTGTGCACGTACACACAGAAACCTTTATATTTTTACATGTATGTTGACTATACAGACATACGTTTTCACTCCTTCTGTTGTCTCTCAGTAAATCCTCTCTGAGGAGAGAGTTGCTCATCATCGTAATTCTGTCATAACTCCTAAGATATCTGCTGTTGACTAAAGCACCTCACTTCCAAAAGCTAAGTTATTAGGTAAAAGTGAGCTTTCACTCTTTGGATCGGTTGTTGTGGTGGGATCTTTTTGGGTTTTTTTAAGAAATTTATTTTTAACTCTCAAACATGATGAAGGTTCTGTCAAGTTTGCTGCTTTAAAGGGATGCTCAGATCCAAAACTCCCACAGCAATTTTTTTTCCTCAGGGAACACATAATTTTAGCAGTAATCCACAACAAGCACAATTATAATCTTTGTGAATAATTCTAACAATATGATAAAGAGAGGGAGGGAGGGAAAAGCTAGAATTAGAACTGAAGCACATTCCCAAAGATCACAAGACCATTAAGAGCAAATCTTTAATTTCATGCTTCATTGATGAAAGACCAAACTATTTGAAACATGATCTAAAATACAATACCCAGTTTTTATCCCAGTACACTTGGATACCCCACCTAAAAATTAAGATGTGCCCTACAGTGGGAAAAGAAGCTGGTGTTAGACTTGACAGCTGTAAATACAAAAGGACAGAGCAAGCTGTTAGGAGGGATGGGAACGCTGGTGTTAGGAAGTCACGGTGAGGTACAGCCAACGCAGAAGCTGCAGAAGAGGAGAACAAACAGCACCATGAAAGTTCAAAGC